TCATCAAACCTGCATCAACGTCAACTCTGAACAATTATACTACAATGATAATTAACTAAATGTCCCAAGACAACTAACACAAAGAAATTAAAATAATAATTTATGGGATGATCAGAGATGATTGACACCGGCTGGCTGGCCGACGGAAGCGTTCACTACACCATCACCAGGCCACGTGAAAACTGTGGTTCCTCTGAGCCGGGGGGTTTGCAGCTTTGGATTTTCACCGCCACAGCACAAGCATGGAGTCTACTGCTATAAATCAGGAATGAATATAGATCACAGCAGCTCCTCTGTTGGGTCACAAATGTAAAGTTGGCTCAGATTTCTTGAATACGTGTATCCTGCTGAACGTCATAATACTAGGTAAAGAGGTTTTCAACCTATTGGCTCGATGATGGGTCACAAGAGCAAATATAACCTCTAATTATTAAATTCATTCACACTAATTATTAAAATCCTTGTAAGGTCTCTTGCTCTCCGTGCAGAAATTGAACACACATGCGTCCACAAGTGGGGAAACCCACAGGAAGCAAATACTGAAAACCTCAGTCTTTTAAAAATGTGAAAGGTTTCCATCATGATAACTCATCTGCATGACTGATTCAATAGTAGAGACAAGAGGGACACAATCATGTCTTTGTTATTCTGATCATCTGCAGAAAAGTCAGACATGTTGTCAGTATTTCATTTGATCACTGAGCTCATGTCTAATAACATTTATTCTAAATGCACAGCTGATAAATACAGCTCAGCATATCACCGGGGCAGCCCTCCCACCACCTCAGGACATTTACACCACAAGGGCCATTAGGAGGGCCACAAACATTACGAAAGACAATACCCACCCCCCCAACACAGCCTGTTCACACTCCTGCCTTCAGGAAGGCGCTACAGGAGTGTCAAAGCAAGGACGACACGCCTGGCAAACAGTTTCTTCCCACAGGCCATCAGACTGTTCAATAAAACTTTGAACTCTTCAGCTTTCACTGAACCTGTATTCTTTCACTTCTTCGTCATTCATAATTTAGATGTCTCAGCCTGACAGTGGTCACACAGGCCTGTTTGATGTTGGCAGGGTTATTGGGTTAAAGATGAATAAAGTGCCTGCAGCTCTTTGAACAATCGATCATCTTTAGTACTGGGATTCACAGATCTCAGCATCTTGTGAGTAGACAGCTCTTCCACGGGATGGATCCCAGGAAAAATTTTATTCACATGATCACCCGACTTAATCTGATGATGAGGTAAAGATGCAGCTTTATCCTTTCATTTGTTTACGGTTGATTTTCATGTGTATTTTTTTTTCACTGTTTCTTATTGTTTTTAGAAGAAGAAGAAGAAGACCAACAATAATAGTGATAATAACAATAACAGCCACAATAAGAAGAAGAATAGCAACAACAATACCAACAATAATTACAACAACAATAATAATAACAACAATCATAATAACAATACATTTTATTTGTATAGCTCAACGAGACCTAATAGGATTGAAAAACAGATCAAAATCAAACATTAAAAGTTATTCTGAAAAGGTGTGTAATGTTTTGAAGGTTATTATGATTTGTAATAATGTTGTTAAATGATGATAACTATCTTTGCTAAATTGTACATTTGTCAGAATAAATATTCCAAAATAGAGGTTTGTTTTAAAGGGAAACAAAAATAGGAGATGATCAATATTTTTCCTCAAAGTTTCATCTTTACAATTGTTTTTTCTTTTGTAAGCATGTGTTTGCATGGTTAGCTATTGCAAATTTCAAGGAAAACCGACAGTGCTTTATCGACACCTACTTGTCTTTTTGTGTTTCTGTAATTTCCTGGAACAGCATGAGACTTTTCCTGGTATTTCATTTGCTGCAAAGCCGTTCACATGCTGTCCTTTGTTAATGCATGTGACAAAAAACACCCTCATCGACTGCTCAGCCTGTCTGACCCCACAGAGGAGACTGGGAGAGGGAAACAAGCCTCGGAGCCACTAGCAAACCGTAATCACATCCTAAACTCATCTGCACTTCACATCTTGCATCAACCTCATACTATTCAAAAAGAAGATCATTTTCTCATCAACTGCTGAATAAGATCTAATGAATAAGATTCTGAGGTGTATAGGTGTAAGAGTTACAAATCTGAAGGGAGGTATCCAGGTCAAAAAAAGGTAGCTACAGATGGTAAAAGCCAGGTTGAAATTAAATATGAACACATTTAATGTGATGTAATGTGAAATGTCTTGAAAAAGGAAAATATATCTGAACTTCATAAGCACAAAACAAAAAAAACACTGCCTGTCAAGGAAAATGCACTAGACCCAAACTTTAGGTTTGGTCACTACCACCAGGTGGCAGTCAGGTGTAAGGGTCAGTCATCAATGAGTGCAGAACAAAATGTGCAGCCACTACCTGTACTCGAACTTTATCTTTTATATAACAAATACGCAACATTTTAGAGAAGCGTAATTTTTTATTTCCCAATCAGCTCTTATGCAAGTCCGTCCATGCCTTGATACACCAGCTGTATCACACAGGCAGATTGGAGAGTAGATTTCTTAGATTTCCTGAATACACTGTGAACGAGCTGCAGTCATGCAGAAAATATGACATTTATGGAAATCCAATCAGATTAAATGTGAAGAATGCAGGATTACACAAATGTGACTGAGGTAAAATGTGACGGCAGAGCAGAGAGGCAAGGGGGGGGGGGAGCCCAGACTAGTACACAGTGTACAGTTGGGGAGGCATGTTCACACCCCCACTGTATCTCTCAGGTTTATGAGACATTTACTGTGCATTATTTGCTTTGGAGCTGATTCAGCTTTTCAAGTCCTATAGATTCATGTCAGTGACAAATTCTTGACCAAGAAAATCACAGGTCATATATTTCATTACTTTGAATGGTCCCAGACAGACTGAACATCAGGATTAGCAGATGTCTCTTGGAAAGTTGATTATGCTTAACTAATGTTTTCCTAGAAATGAACCATGGAATTACAACAGACATGAATCAGACGGCAGCAGATTCATAGAAATAGAGCATGAATGTGAGGAAATTAGGCATCAGTGGTGTAAAGCGGATAATTGAAGTGTGGGTGTTTAAGTGAAGAACTATAACATAAAACTAATTAGAAAGTGAGGACAATGTAAAGGGCTGAGTGAAGGAGGCTCATAGGAGGGCAGCCTATAACCTTAGGTCATTCTCAGAGTGAAACATTAAGTACGCGACCAAGAACATAAACACTACCCGAGAGATTTCACAGTGAAACTAGGATGTCACTCAATAGAACGCATACCTCCCCCAAGGTCCAACAGTCCCCTTATGAAACACATGTAAATTTACTAAATCCACATTTGCACCAATTGCACACACTAATAAATACCAGTCCCCTACAAAGTCCTATTTTTCATAAAGATCCATAAATTGTTCTCTGAGGAATAAACAAAAATTGTAAAAAAACGGCCTTTCTCACAATGTTAAAGAAAGTAAAACAACCAACATTTGATGGGTTCTTTCTTGGTCCTTGTCCCATCCTTCCACCAAGTGTTGTTGTACTCTGTTTGTTAGTTTCGGCGTCATCTTGCTTTAGCGCGGATCCAAATGAAAGTATGTTTTTTTCACAAAGCTTTAACATCATTCGATTGATATTTTCAGAGAGAGTCAGGCACAGATTGGCATTCCAGTTATATTTATTTGCAGCTGCAGGAGAATATTCTTGATGTTGGTAAATGTTTCATTCAGTTTGGAAAATGAAACAGTAATTAACATGTTGTATGTGATTGTCCCATGTCTGTTCCAATCCTCATCTCCTCTCATCCTATCTCATAAAAAGGAAGCAGTGAGTGACCAACGTCCATGTTCCATGATCAGATCAATAACATGTCATTTATCAATTCACTTAATAAATAGACTTTACCAATTAGTTTGAACACACCAGCCAATATAAGACTCCTCAAATCAAACCAAAAATGCACTAAGCCATCTCACAGGTGGATAAACCGTCATCACTGCTCACTTGCACAATACTTTCATCACTGGTTAGTGCATGTGATACATCAAAAGTGAAACGCCTTTTTCATTTTAAACAAGAGTGTCTTGTGTCTCTCACCAAATACCATGACATTCAAATTTGTCTTGATATCCTTGATATTTATTTAGCTATTGGCAATGTGAGACACGTTTAAGCTACAACTGTGCAAAGTAAATACATATGATCTGATGCATGCTCTGCTGCCACACTAGCTGAGAAACTGTATTAGGAAATGCAAAATAAAATTTGACAAAGCAAACCTAAATCAAATTGGAGCGCATCATTTTTTCTGACTTCCTGAGGAGTTGTGGAGAACAGACAATGCATGTGTGTAAAATAAAACATCACGTCACATGGAAAGGTCTTGAGCAAATCTAGAAAAAGCATGAAAAACAAAATTAGAACCGCACGTCTCGCTCCAAGTACAAAGAAGTTCTTTCAGTAGCAAATCTTTCTTAATTTCATTTTGAAGGTGATGGTATTGTCAGGAGATCACATGGTGATCAAATGAGAATGCAAGAATTTGGTGTAAAAGTTCATTCAGTTTCCGCTAATTCACTAATTCAGCCTAATATCCCTATGTTTCTATTGCAGCTTGACAACCTCAAAACATTACAGCAGATCCAGTGCATGAAAAGCTTAAAGCTTTTGCGCAGCTTATTGTTGTCAGTTGTTGTCAAGAAATTTCCTAAATAAAAGTCTCAGGCTGGAAATTGGCAGAATGAAGCAAATGAGTCCAACTATGAATAGAATTTTTACAAAACAAACTGAATTCCACACTTGGCAACCTCCTCTTCATAGTTGAGGTTCTCGAGGATGTCAACCCCAACACAAGTAATATTTTGGTGTAAACCTCAAGAAAACTGTGTCATGGAGTCGGTTGGGAAGTTTATAAACAAAACAGCGGGAGGTCGGCTGCAGGCTGGTGAGAATAACACTGCAGCGATGTGAGCGTGTTTACAGATACTCTCTTTTATTTTTTATTTTGTGTCTGATCCAAAAAAGGTAATATTACATATATTATTGATGTGCATTGTGGTTTAGTGAGCTGCTGAAGGCATCTGACACAAAATTAACCAGAAGGGTGCTCTGGACAATTCATACCAACAATAGGGCCCTACTTTTCCCTTATGAAACCACATTGAAATTCACT